AACCCCCATTCCCTGCTTTCCCCCCTGTGCCGCTGCGGCGGAGGAGGGAGAAAAATCATGATCAAAGTTAAGCCCGGGAAAGGAGGGAGGGGTGGGGGGAAGGTGTTTTAAGATTTGGTTTTATTTCTCATTACTCCTCTCTGAGTTAATTGGCAATAAATTACATTTTTTCTTTAATCGAGTCTGCTTTGCCCGTGACGGTAAATGCTGAGTGATCTCCCTGTCCTGATCTCAACCCCACAAGCCTGTTGTTATTTTTTTTCCTCTCCCCTGTCCAGTTAAGGAGAGGGAGTGACAGAGTGGCTTTGGTGGGCACCTGGCATTTTGGCCAGGGTCAACCCACCACAACATCCAAGAGTGTGGTCCAGTGCTCAGGACAGTTGCCTGTGGTTTGGGAATGTGTGTCCCGCTCTTTGCTCTGCGTAAGGCTGGGGAAGTTGAGCAGCCAGTGAAACCGAGAGGTTCCTAAAGCGACTGAATTGCCCTTAGTCACAGGGGATTTGTGTCTTCATGTTAATCCAGCCTCAAAATGCAGGTCAGGAAGCAGACCCTATACGTGTGAGGGGTGTGCCCAGGTAGCCGGGGAGCCAGCTGGGAACTTCAGCTCACATCTTCTCATGCCTTAAAGCATTACAATGGGAATGGCACCAGCTCACCGCGTCCGACTCCTCGCTTGCCGAGATCCCTCTCCTCATCCAGGTGGTTCGGGCTGAGCGCAGTCTGGGTTTCTTGCAGTTTTCCTGTTCTCGCCTGTGTTCCTTCATGTTACTTTCTCACTGAGAATGTCAGGAGTTGAGGAGGAACAGATGCCGCCAAGCAAGCCTGCGTGCTGAGTCACGGCGCAGTTTTACAGCGCTCTGGGCGGGAGGGGCGATCTGCTGGGCTTCCTGAACATTGGAGCCAGATGGTGGACCTTGATGGTATCTGATGGGATGTGCTTTTTCTTTTGAAGCACAGCAAGAAACTTCTTGAATACGTCCATTGATTAGGGTGGGTTGGAGTCAGTCTTGAGAAAATCTGTAGTTTGGGAGTTCATGGAAAAACTGTTTCCCAACGTAATGTCTACTCCACGGCAGTCTGTAGCGGTAACCTTCCCGCCTCTCTGCCCACATCGCGCAGGGGTTCAGGGAGTGTGATCTTTCGCCTGTGCTCTCCAACTAGCCCTGCTCCACTTGCTGCCCGTTGACTCCTCATTTCATGCTTCCTCCCTTCTTTCTCCAATTTTCAGACATTAACTTCATGAAACAATCTGAGGAGGAAAAAAGTTGTATAAACTCATGGTCTGACCTTGGTACTTACAGAGGGCTTTGCGTGAAGTTCTAAACACTGTGGAAATATTGTGGAGGGTGCGTGTGTTCAGAGCTTACTGGGAGAGTAAGAACGGGTATGAATTCTTACTGTGCAGGATCTCGTCCAGGAAAGCACTAAAACCTGCAGTTCTAAGATTAAGCAGATATTCATGTACTTAAGGGAGTCGGGGCCCAAATGTAGACAAAGAACAGGGCTTGAACTGGAATGTAATGCCAAGAGAGTCCTGGTTCTTGACTCTTGAGATGCTTCCTCTTAAGGAGAGCCTAACCCGGGATTGTTTTCTTGCAGATGAGCGAGGGCAGGAGCACCTTAGGGCCGCAAAACTCAATTTAGTGGATCTGGCGGGAAGCGAGAGACAGTCGAAAACTGGAGCCACGGGGGAGCGGCTCAAAGAGGCCACCAAAATCAACCTCTCCCTCTCGGCTCTGGGCAACGTCATCTCGGCCCTGGTTGACGACAGGTGTAAGCACATCCCCTACCGAGACTCCAAGCTGACCAGGCTGCTGCAAGACTCCCTCGGAGGGAATACCAAGACCCTGATGGTAGCGTGCTTATCTCCGGCTGATAACAACTATGACGAAAGCCTCAGTACTTTGCGCTATGCTAATCGAGCGAAAAACATCAAGAACAAGCCCTGTATCAATGAGGACCCCAAGGATGCTCTGCTGAGGGAGTATCAGGAGGAGATTAAGAAGCTGAAGGCCATTCTAGCTGAACAGATGGGTGCAAATAACTTGTCAGGTAGGAGTGCCCTTAGTGGCTGCAGAGGTGTTTTATCTTTGGCAGAAAAAAGAGGCTTTTGCACACAAAATGCTCGCTGGATTTCACCTCAACCTTTCCCTTCCCTGCTGGAGGAAGAGTTCTCCGTTCTGGTAATGGGCTTTTCCTTCACCATTGCCAAATTGCCCTTATTCCACTGGTAAAGATGATCTCAATTATCCAGTATTTTCAATAATGACAAATGCTGATGTGATTAAAGTCCTCAGCTCTCCTTGGTCATTCTGGCTAGAATTTGGTCAGTCACAGAAGAGAGGTTTTGGCTGGTAGAGAAAAAAACGAGCTGCGACAGAAAGAATAATGTAAAATTCTTTATCAAATACATCTGTATATATGTTTTCAAAGTCAGCAGGCCGTGCTCTGCGCTGTGAATTTTTGATGCCCCAAGGAAAGTTTTGCCCTGCTGGTGGCACTGGTTACGGTGAGCAGCGCTGTCCTCTCTGAGGATTCAGCCCAGCCTCAGCAGGCTGGCTTTTTGCTGTGAAGCAGGAATAGCAAATGTGGGAACAAACGGGTAAGAGCAGCCTTTAGGGAGCTGATCACCTTTCGAGAATTATCCCCTAAAACAGGGCAACTTTCAGCAGAGGACTAAGGCTGTAAGATTTATTTTTTCCCCCTTTCTGCCACCTTTCAGAAACAGCCGTGAAGAAAGAAGGTGATTTCCTTGCAACTTTCATCTCATCCCCAGTGTCTTTTATCTTCCACATCTGTTAGCACAGCCCTGGGTCTCCTGTTACCCCGTGAAAGAGATGAGGTTTATATTCGCTTTCATATACCTGAAGCTTAAACCTCTCCCCCTCTGCTCAGCGCTGACTCCTTCTCTCCCCACGCCGATGGAGTCCCAGGCCAGTGGGCGTTTCGGCAGCGCAGAGGCTGGCGCACGGGCGCAGGTTAAGGAAGCGCGTGGATTGCGACGTTCTTTGCTGGCGGCCAGGCTCTTTGTTCAATTTCCAGGCATTCTACAGACAATCCCACCCAGTAACTGTGAGCGATTTTTATTTCTGCTTTGCTTTGTAGGGCTTCTACCTGCCGAGACCGCTCACCTGGCAGCCAAGCCAGCTCCCCTCCTCAAACCCCAGTTAGATCTTGAAGCAGAGAAGCAGCTGATCAGAGAAGTAAGTCAGGAGGGGTGTAACGGGTCTGCCTGAGCTGCAGCCCTCACCGTGCTGTGCAGTGGTAGCTGGATAACACACCAGTGTTTTGGCTACTGCTGAGCCGGGCTCACACAGCACCAAGGCTGCTTCCCCAACATTTCCCCAGCAGGCTGGGGGTGGGTAAAAACTTGGGAGGGGATATAGCCAGGACAGCTGACCCAGACTGTCCAAAGGGATA